GGGTCCTGGACTGGGCGGGCTCCGTCCTCTCTCTCTCAGGTCGCCTGGGACCGGGTCAGCCGGCGGCCGAGCCTGCAGGAAGCCGAGGAGATCCTGTCGGTGGAGGAAGTGCGGCCCCTGGAGAGCGGACAAGGGGACCCCGTGGGCCCGGCGTCGCCCCAGCACCTCAGTGCTGAGGGCATCAGCGGTCCTGAGCGTCGTCCCCTCCACGTGTGAGGTTCCGGGGGGGAGGAGAGAGGCCACCCCATGCCTACGGGGCCCGTGCCCTGTTCAACCTGCTTGTCTGTGTGTGTGTGTGTGTGTGTGTGCAGGTGCGCATACACACGTGTGCAAAGCATGTGCAGGCGTGCATGCATGTGTTGCAAAGCATGTGCAAGCATGCATGCTGTATGCACATGTGCACGTGTGGAGGGTCATGTGTGGTCATGCGTGTTGTGCACACATGTTCATGTGTGGTGTGTGCAGAAACATGGTGCGGGTGCATGCATGTTGTACGTGCACGCACACCTGCAAAATCATGGGTGTTATGTGCTATGAGCACGTGTTGTGTGAGAGCATGTGCATGTGTGTGCACACAGGTGTGCATGTGCAGGGTCCTGTGCTGTACGTGTGTGCTCTGTGCACAGGTCCGCATGCTCTGTGTGTGCAGAAACATTCGTGTGGGTGTGTGTGTTGTGTGTTATGCGCATCTGTTCTGTGTGAGCATGCATGGGCATGCGTGTGTGCGTATTGTGTGTGCACGCGGGGGTATGCGTGACTGTGTGGGCATTGCGGACGTGTGTGTGCATGTGTGTGCAACCATGCATTCAAATGTGTGCACACACGTGTTTATACGTACGGGCCCCTGAGAATGCGACGGAGGAAGGCCAAGGGTGGTCATCGCCAAACTTCAGGAAACTTTAAGTTCTCCTCACGTGTGTATTCGTGACGTTTTTACAAAAGCCCTTTGTTGCCGTGGAAATAAACGCACCCAGCCCTGGCCGGTGTGGCTCAGTGGATAGAGCGTCGGCCTGCGGACTGAAGGGTCCCGGGTTCGAGTCCCGGTCAAGGGCATGGACCTGGGTGGCGGGCACATCCCCAGTGGGGGGGCGGGCAGGAGGCGGCTGATCGATGTTTCTCTCTCATCGATGTTTCTAACTCTCTGTCCCTCTGCCTT